GAAATTAAGATGGAATGCGCTTCACAAAAGGGATCTTCCTCTCCAAAAACTACTCCAATTTCATTCAATAAAGTTCAATCACCAATAGCATTGGTGTGTAGGGGTGTGTGTGTGTGTGTGTGTGTGTGTGTGTGTGTGTGTGTGTGTGTGTGTGTGTGTTTTCCCTGTGGTGTCTCAATGTGAACAGAATAGACAAACCACACCACACAGTAGCTATGATGGTGTTCATTCAGCCTGAAGAGCTCCTAGCCACAAAACGATTATCATAAGCTGAGAAGTGAAAACAATGAAACTCCAATTTGCTAACATCCAGTTTCTATAGACCATCAAGCCTAAACTTGAAGCTATGATTTATGCAAAGCCCTTTCAGATTCCCAGAGACACTAAACAGTTTCCTGCATGCAGGGCAGAGGCAACAGGGACTTCAGAGCAACCCACCGTATGAAATCCATGCTAGCACTGAGAGAATTCCAAAGAAACACTAAGTGAGACACTGGGGAGAAAGACAGTATTATGGAACATACCACTGAAGCCAGGCCAGCCACCTGTCAGTGAGTTTGTTTTACCTTCCTGTTAGGGCAGACCTGGTCAGAGGCCAGTTGGCCTGAAGCCTGGCCAAACCTCAGGGTCAAGGTCATGAGACAATTATAAGGATTCATCCTTTTCTGATCAAGAACACCGAAGTTTCTGATTTCATCAGTACTAGCAGATAAACTATCCTAGCAAACAAATCACTATGTCAGCAAAAGGGAGACATTAGTAGAATATAGGCTCTCAGGCTAGAGTGACTTGGAGAAAGCAGAAGGCAGACAGAGTATCCACAGAAGCCAGCAAGGGAGGCAGAATTCCACTTTGATAGTTCTATGCTCAGAAACTGAGATGGAACACCTCACAAGAGAGAACTGAAAAAAACAATGTGTACCACTAAAACAACCTGTCTTCCTCTCCATAGACTATTTTCCCATTTTCCTCAATAAACTTTGCTATTAGCAACCACCATGCTCAATTGCAATTGGGTAATTAATTACTTTCTTGCAGGCAATGACCTCTCATTATGTTACCTTTAAATCACCCCAGACATTTGCACTAGCCCTTTTTACAATTCTCATCCTCAATACTCAAGGCCAGTGATACAACAATGTATACCTTGCAGGTAGGGACAGGCATTGTCTGCATATAAAACTCCACTGGTGAGCTTTCTATCTAGTGAGAATCCTTTTTAAACTACCCAGTTATCAATCTAATCCTCTGACTTCTCTGGCACCTCTGTAAACCTGGTGTAAAACAGCAAATAACTGTCCTTGGACAGCTGCCTCTCAGGCTTTTACTAGAACCCATTTCACACCCACTAGCTCTAGTTTAATCCTTAGCAACTACAACTACAGAAACCATAATACCCACTTTATACATGAGCAAACAGGCTAAATGGGGCATAAATCAACAATCCAGGACCCAAGTACTCTTAGAGGGAGAGCTGTGTATTGCCCCCTCGCAGGCCTCAGGCTGCTGTGGCCTGGGTCTGGTCGAGTCAGCCCCACCACTGGACTGTGGATACAATTCCCCTCCCATACCTCCAAAGACTCCATTCACTGGGCAGAGCTGGAGGCTGCACTGTGACAGCTATGGCCATAAGAATGAACTGTGTGCTGTGTATGTTTCATGAGTCCCCGTTGGGAACCCCCTCGTTTGCAATACCCCATAAAAAGAAAAATGTAAATAAGAGAATCATTTAACCTGCCATTGCTCTGCTGCATTAAGCTCTTTTTAAATCTCTTAATAATTATGGTCAGAACAAAGAGACAAAGACAGAACTCATTAAGAATAACGAGATCGGTGACAGGAAATACAGCAATGGTACTGAGTAGCTGCTCACAGCATACATATGAGGCTGAGGCTCTCTTCATCACATGTACCCTGGAAGATACTAATTATGCCTCTGGCAAGAAACATGTGCTCCCCTTCAAAGCAGCTATTTAGAGATAAATGCACAGCAGGTGAACATTTCAGGCCCTGCTTCAATGTTCATTCCACTCTGCTTCCTTCAGAAGTTCTAGGGTGTGGCATTAAGTAGGGGGAGCAAAAAGACCTGCTAGTTTGGCAGACAGTCTCATGGTGCACTGAAACTTACCAACCCAAATTACTAGGTGGTATGTACATTAACTACAGCAATCCTATACTGATAACATCTCCAGCCACAAGGTGTTTGTTTATACTAAAAGGAGAGAGGTTTTTGGCTCTAGTGTCATCATTGATGGTTAACAAATAAGGTTTAAAGAAATCTAATCATCGTCTTTCCTGTGGCCCAATCACTTAAGTCTCTTCAATATTCAAAACTATTAAGGGAAATACATGAAATCTGTAGAAATGACTCAAGTCTGTGGCCAAAAATATCCCTTCCATGCATTTGACTTATTGCAAGACTTCCCTATAAAAAACATTAACTTAAGAAATGTTGGGGGTTGGAGACATGGCTAGGTACTTCCTGTCCTCCCAGACCAATTTGGTTTCCACCACCCACATGACAGCTAACATGACCTGCAACTCCGTTTTAAGAGAATACACAAGGGAACCTGAGAGTGTGCCATAGCACACAGGTGCACACACACGCACAGAGGGAGGAGGATTGGGAATTTTTAATAAGATTTAAAAAAAAAAATAAGACCAATTTCTCTCCTACTGTCATTTTTCAAAAGGGAAGAAAAAGGAAGCAAACAAGCAGACTAAGAACAATAAAAAGGTTTCCAAAATGCTGACTGCCTCAAAAGGCAGTCTCATAGCTGTTGATCTCATAGATCCCATAGCTGTTGATAACAGACATATCACAATGGGAATCTGGAATTAGACAAATTCCATGACTTTCACAAAACTGAACACAGAAAGTATAGCTATCTTTCCAAAACAAATGGGAACACTTTCACGACCCATTAAAAAATTTAACAACTTTTGTAACTTGAAATTCAATTATTAAAGAAGCATTACAAGGGTCATCTACAAAGCCCCTATACACTTCAAAATACAAGCTTTCCATACCCAAAGCCATAACATTATAACAGTTGGGCCTACCAAGGATCCAGGACAGACAAAATACAACATATATCCTCTAGGGTTTATGCAGTAAAACAAGGAAAATTATGAGGGGGTCTAAACAAAGACTAACAAAAGACTAAGGTGGCTCATTTTTAATAGCTCGGATCTAAAGAAAACCTGTAAGAAAAATAGGAAAGGAGTATAATAAGAATCCACATGGTACACCAGCTAAGAAAAAGCAGCGTGTTTTGTTGTGTGGTTCTTTAAGTAGAGAATACACTCACGGGTCCAGGCTTCATTTATTTAGAACTTTGCTGAAAAGGTAACTGGATACATAAGAAAGCAATTCTCTTATGTCTGAATATTGAAATTTCAAGGCTATGTGCTTGGTAAATTTTCTCCAGGTATTATTACATACCCCGCCCCAAACTACCCAGAGTAGAGGGGATAGGATTTTTAAAACAATGCACATACAGAAAAACGTGGTACATACAGACACACAGTTTCTGCTCTACTTACTCACTCAGGCAGTCCTTGATTCTTGCCCATCTGCTCTCCATAGAATGCCATGTTAAAAGTGATTCTCCAGCAGCATACCAGTGACACTGTTTCTGTCTACTGGTTGCATGATTCTTGAAAAAGAATCTGCTGTCATTCTCCATACTAGGAATTGCTTTTACAGTTAGTTAGTAGTCAGTGTTGGTTCAAACTTGGAGATATAATTTGTCTTATGTTTTCTTGTTTGTTGGGCTTATATATATTATTACTATTTAGTCTTCAGATACCACTGCTTCTACAAAATAGATGCCATTATTTCATAAAAGTGTGTGTGTGTGTGTGTGTGTGTGTGTGTGTGTGTGTGTGTGTGTGTGTGTGTTTCCTCACTTGGAAACTTGAACACACATATGTTATTTGTGTGCTGGAAATTGCCTTTACCTCATTGAGAGTTTGCCTTTTCCAGTCTTGTTATTTTTAAAAACATTTCACTTTTGTGGGGTTCTGCCTGACCTGTCAAATAGTCCTGGATAGGGAGTGAGAATTGAGAAAAAAACTGCTAGGAAAAACAGAGACATGGAAGAAAATATATAGACACAGGATAGGTTTGGGAGGGCTCTGAGTTAATACCTCAGCAGCCCAGAATTTTTTTCACAGCTTTTTTTTATACCCAAAGCAAACAGGGCAAAAGACCGCTTACCATGGTTCAAGGAACATGCAAGCATAAACACCTCTTAAAAAACATCTAGTAACCACGCCTTTGGCCAATCATCTGTTATCAAGCCTTATGGAGCAAAGACAAGCTTGAACTCTCTGACCTTGAGTCAAGATGGAATCAAGCCACAAGCTGGAGTCACTGTGGCTCCCACAAACATTTTCCTAGCTGGTCGTGGTAGCTCATATCTGTAATCTCAGAACGGGAGGGGGGGGGGGGTATTTCTGAGACTTTGAGTCAGGTCTAGATAACATCATCAATTCCAGGTCAGTCAGACCTACATATTAAGACACTATCAAAAACACAAAAAGTAAGACTGAAGAAATGGTTCAGGGGTTAAGAACACTCTTGCAGAGAACCTGGGTTCAAGTCCCATCACCCAGATAGTAGCTTCCAACAATTTGTAACTCCAATCCCAGGGAACTCATAATTTCTGACTGCCTCAAACACTGCATATGTGTGGTGCACAGGCATGTGTGTGGGAGCAAAACACACACACACACAAACACAACATACACATAGAGAAAAATAAGCAAAAAACTGCCGGCCCGGGAATGGTGCCACCTATCTTTTAACTCCAGAATTTCTGAAGGTGGTGGCAGGCAGATCTCTATAAATTCAACGCCAGGCTCATATTCAAAGTCCAGCTAGGGTTACATAGTGAAAGTCTATCTTTAAAAAAGAACCAGAATGAGCCCTCAAATCAAACAGGGTAATGAGATATGAGAACAACACAGTGATGTCATCTGTCCTGCAAGCTTACCTCGAAGGCAGAGAAAGGTAAGAAAGTCTTCTGTCTTAGGCTTCCTTTTAGAGAGGTCAGAAATTTGAGTAGCTGGCGGGGGTAGCAAAGGCTCCACTGTCTTCACTGGAGTTGTGCTGGGACTGTTCGGCTGAGATTGAGCAAACTTCCTTTGTGCTTGCAGCCTGGGCCTGCAACAGCAAAAGAAAACTAAATTAGGCAGAGACTGGAGGACATGGTCCTATATGCAGCAATAAAGCCATGATAAAGAAGAAAGAAAAGATAATCTCTCAAACAAACTCTTGGGAATTAAGGCTCTACAGCTCTCTCATAAACCACAGCCTGCTTTACAGTGCAGTAAATATGTCTAAGGGGCTATTGTTTTATGTGTACGTATAAAGTGTGTGTACACTAGGAATGTATACAGTACAATGCTAGCAAGGACCCCATAGAGACTGCTTCAAACACAACAAGAAAAACATTGGATCACAAGGAATCAGTGGCTCTAATTACCCCAGGTCACACATTGAATAGCACCCTAGCTTTCCATCCACTATTTCACAAGTACACACACAATTTCCTTCCCTTACTGTCCACTGAGACCTAGTTCACATTTCTCTGTCTCAAATGAACTTGTGTAACTCACCTCTACCATCCTGAATTTAGTCATGGCTGGGGAACAGAGACCAGCTGCAGCATGAACTTTACCGGGCAGCAGTGGCCAGTGAGATGGCTCAGTGGGGGAAAGGTGCTTACTACCAAAGCTGATCCCCAAGACTCAGAACTACACATCCTCACTGGTATATAAAGGTGCATGAGTGTGTGCATACATGAATCAAAAGACTTTAAATTGTCCCAAGAACAGCTCCAGGCTAGTATTTCTACCTGGTGCTTAGGATAAATGATCAAAGCTCAGGTGTTTTGAGGGTTGTTAATAAGCTTCCTCTGGTTGTATAGAAAATCAGAGAGGAAAAAGAGTCAAGCCATGTAAGCAAAGGGTAGATAACACTCTAAGCCTGGTATTTTTGACAGAGAAGTGAAAAGAATGCTAACTTTTAAAAGGCACTGGGTTGTTTGTATCTCAAAAGTCACCTCAGAGATCTCAGCCATCCTAAAAAGTAACGCAGAAGACAAGACTTCCATAATTGTCCTCGAGGACCGGGAGGATACCACATTGCTGCCAGAGGTACACAATTCTTCATTCCTTTATTTAGGAGGCAGTTGGCAAGCATAACAGAATGAATGTTCTTAGGGGACTACTTGGATGTAGGAGACTGTCAGATGCAGATCCAGGAGGCAATAAGAAGGGAGGACCAAAGCTCTGTTCCAGGTGAAGAAAGGTCTGGTCAACCCACTGGAACTATATCCAAAAAAGATATTGGTTCTACCAAGAATTATCTAATATCCATGTGGTCACTACTAACCAGAAGTAACTGGGCCATGTGGCTGCTCATCACCACCAGCATCCAACAAGAGAGCCAGATAAAGTGTGGGTATGATTCTTCTGGTATCATGTGCCACACAACCAAAGACACAGTCTAATAGACCAAGAAAGAGGTTCCTGTCATGAACCACATGGGCTGACAGCCCTACAATTTAAAGTAGGCATCACCTGTACTTCTTGATAAAGCCACGTGAACTTCAGTGAAGAGACAGTATATTTCTCCCTTCCCCTCCCATTCCTGAAATTTGCATGCAACACACTGGGTCTCCAATTTCCCTTTTATTTGGCATTAGGTAGTACTACCAACAGCCAGGTGAAATTTGTTTCCCCTTGAGGCCAAGCATAATGCAAACCCAAAATCCTAACAGGAAGAAGACTGAGACAGACCAGTTCAAACAATGGAGGGAGGATAGGGAGATGGCTCAGTCAGTGTTTGCTGCACAAACATGAGGTGCTGTGGGATGATCTGTATGTCAAATTGCTCTGATTGGTCAATAAATAAAACACTGATGGGCCAGTGGCCAGGCAGGAAGTATAGGTGGGACTAACAGAGAGGAGAATTGAGAGAACAGGAAGGCAGAGGGAGTCACTGCCAGCCGCCGCCATGACAAGCAGCATGTGAAGATGCCGGTAAGCCACGAGTCACATGGCAAGGTATAGATTTATGAAAATGGATTAATTTAAGATATAAGAACAGTTAGTTAGCAAGAAGCCTGCCACGGCCATACAGTTTGTAAGCAATATAAATCTCTGTGTTTACTTGGTTGGGTCTGAGCGGCTGTGGCACTGGCGGGTGACAGAGATTTTGTCCTGACTGTGGGCAAGGCAGGAAAACTCTAGCTACAATGAGGACCTGAGTCTAAGCCAAAATATCCATGTAAAAAGGTGTATTGAGGGCTATGACTCCAGTCTATAATCCCAGTACTTGGGGAGGCAAAGACATAATAAGAATACCTGAGGCTCTCTCTTGTCTTCCCAGTCTAAGTCAGTGAGCACGCGCGCACACGCGCGCGCGCACACACACACACGCACACGCACACAAAATCTTTTAGAAAGTCTTTGAGGGTATTTTTTTTTTTTAATTTTAAAAATAAAATAAAATCAGCCAGGTGGTGGTGGCGCACACCTTTAATCCCAGCACTTGGGAGGCAGAGACAGGTGGGTCTCTATGAGTTTGAGGCTAGCCTGGTCTACAGAGTTCCAGGACAGGCTCCAAAGCTACACAAAGAAACCCTGTCTCGAAAAAACAAAACAAACAAACAAAAGTATTATAGCATTTTTTATGTGAATAAATATGTACTGAATTGGGGAAGCAGCTCTCAATGCTTCTTGGCCCTGCTTATGTTCAGATCCAAAGAACAGTAAATAAATAAATCAGCAACTATTATTTTGAAAGTTAACAAATTGAGAAAAGGCTCATAAATAAAATCCACGGGTGAGTACAAAAGGTACATATGGATTTCCTATCTCTTTCCTGTCCTTTCTCAAAGATAGATTTGAAAGCTTACTGGACAGTTTTCCATAAGGAGCCTCACATGAGTCCTCCTTTTAGGTTTCCTCAGCCATCTACAGTACATGATTACCTTACTCTCTATGTGTGACCATCTATTTCTAGGGCAATACACACTAGAGCAAAATAGCCAATCCTAAGTTGACTGAATTCCACTGAAACTTCTAATAGTCTCCAAACCAAAGTGTGTGCACACAATGAGGGAAAGGGAAACATACCATTCAGGCTAAGCAGAGCTGGTACCTTGTTAAGAGATGTGCATACCAAAACATTCATTAGTCAATTTTCCAATATTAAACTTGTAATCTGTTAAATCCAATTATTTAAATTACATCCCAACTCCAAGCAAAGGGTAAGGAAGGTACGAGGGAAGATCTGTTCAATCAAAAATGAGAAACAGCACCTGGCAAATACAAAATGACCAACGTGGCTCCTCTCTCTATGGGAGCTGACCCTGTCACATTGCCAACTTGCTGAAAGGCCTATTCAAATAGGAAAAAAAAAAAAAAATCCTGTGTTTCCATCCTCAAAATAATTACCCACTCTATTCTACCCAAGACATACACATACACTACAAACCTGGCAGCTGCTCAAAGAAACAAGAGTGCGCTAATGTGTGTGCATGAGAAATGTGGGGACAGGAGACATCATCTACCGGGCGGGGCAAGCTGCCCACCAAATTCAAATGCGACTGCAGTGGCGGGCAAAACACACAGGATAGCTATAAATGTCCTCTGTGGTATATAAACATATCCTCCTCACATGAACTCAGAGGCCAGCAAACACCATCTCACCCACACTGTGTAACATAGCCACCGATGATATTCCATCTCATCCCTGTTGCCAAAACTGAATCAGCAGTTAAGAATATAACACGATGACAGAGGAGAGGTCACTTGGCTACAGAAAAGGTTTTGCTGCACAGAAGTCTTTTTGCTTTGCAGTATGTCTTGAAATCTAGCCATACTGATTCACAGACTGAGGGGACATAAACACTTTACATATAAAGAGATGAAATCGTTTATGAAAAGCACAGGATATTAAATATTTGCAGCCTTTAACTTAATTAAATTATATAAAGGGCTATTCAGAATGAAAGGTTTACTATAGCTGGATTTGCCTTAGAGAACTTTCTGTTGGGAAATCCCCTCCCAATGACTCCTTAAGAGATTTGGCTTGGTCCAGCAGGCACCGGGAAAAGCTACAACTTGGGTTTGGCTCAAGTAACTTCATTTTTTAATCAATGTGAGCCTTGGTTTTCACAGGGTATTAAAAATAAATAAGCCAGGCACAGCAGCTCATGCCTATAATCCCAATATTAAGGAGCTGGTGCAGGACTGTGAACTTCAGAGCAGCCTGGGCTACCCTGTCTCAAAAAATATTAAAAAACAAAAACAACGAAATAAACGAACAGAAATAACAGAGTGATAGTTTAGGTTCTGTTTCTAAGCAAGGCCTCTCTCTCTCTTCAGTGAAAGAAGGGGTAGTTCCAGCTGCTCACTCACCAGTGCCAGGCGCCTCAATTGAGAGGTCAAACAACAAACCAGGGTCACAGAATACAGCGAGCATTCCAGAAAGCTGAGGAGTCAGAAAACAACGCACCTTTCAAGAAGGAAATCACAATTCCTAAACTTTTAAAGTAATGGTGATAATCCCAACATCCTCCTTGCAAGGACTGAGTAGTTCTACTTATAAACACCCAGCCTCCTCAGGCACACTATTATAAATACATAAGAGAGAGCAGAGAGGGGTCCTTCACTATTCTTACAAAGAAATTGAGAAAAGATGGTCAAAAGTTAGAAATTTAATACATAAGAGCTAGGACAACTTCAAGTTAAACATTTACTGGCACAAAAAAATCTCAGGCTAGGTGATAGCAGCAAGCAAAGTAATGAATCTTATAACCTGAAATGTCAAAGAACCAAGCCTGCCTAGAATCACAAATGTCACTCACAATGAAGAAAAAATTGTGACAGAGTTCTTTGGGGTTCTAGAAAGCAACTATGCCAAGGGAGAGGAATCACTATTAGCTGGCAAAGTAGCAACAAAGCCTTGTTTGTCGGTTACAATTGCCACAGGTCACTCAGTTTGTGTCAGTCTGTGTGTACCCTCTAGGCAAAGCTGCATATTCCACCAAACGAAAGTGCAGAACCTCCTCATCATGATCCAACTTTCAAAGGCAGCACTGACTTACAAGCATTCTTCTCAACAAAGCTAAAGATTTCATGAAAGTCCCA